AGCAGAAAGAGAGCAGAGAGAGAGAACAGTGAGAGACCAGAGAGAGAGAGCAGAGAGAGAACAGTGAGAGACCACAGAGAGAGCAGAGAGAGAGCAGAGAGAGACCAGAGAGAGACCAGAGAGAGACCAGAGAAAGACCAGAGAGTAGATAGAGACTAGAGAGAGACTACGGAGAGACCAGAGAGAGACTTAAGATAAAAGACAAGGAAACGGGAAAGAGACCAGAAAAAGAGGGAAAAATGAGGGAGACCAGAGAGAGACCATACAGAGACCATACAGAGAATGGAGAGAGTAACAAGAAAGAAATCAGAGAGAGACTCTTTGAGCTGAGACCTGATTGACCTCTCTTTTTCATCTTTCTATCTCAAAAAACTGATCAAAGGCCAACAATACATGATGTGAAAACTGTTTCTGAGTCAAGAACTAGAACAACTTTATTCCAAACTTCCATCGACGGCGGCTTTAAGCGTGTACAATATCAAAACCTACACACACACTTTTCATGTTTTCTCACTTTTCCCACATCGTCTTGTTTCCTGCTCTGGCTTCAGCAAGTCACGGAGAATAAATAACAAAAAAATCAGCTTTCCACTTCACACAAACGCCATTATCCACGGCAGGTCTCACCCGCAGAACAAACCAGCACGCCACCGCCCAAAACACGGATTTATCTCTCGAAAAACTGGAACAGGCTTTTATTAAATTAACCTTATTAGTGCATTACGGTAAGCAAATGCCAAAAAAAATAGGGAGTTGCTCATTTGCATTAAGATAGATTTTTCAGGTTGGCTGCACAATTTAATTAAAGAAAAGATTAAGAATCATTAGCCGAGCTGCTGTACCTCGCCGCCGCGACAGCCGCACATCTGACGCAGGTTAACGGGAGCCCAGATGGCGCCGCGCGAACTGTCGGGGCCCGTAACCCAATCCGGATGAGGACATTAGCGTTGCCAGGTTGGAGTCCTGCGTGGTGGTGGCGGTGGTGGTTGTAGTGGCGGTGGCGGTACACAAACCCCGCCCCCTTGGTCCCTTGCCCCCTGCCGGCCTAGGTAATGGGAGGATGGGGAGGGTAAATAGGGGAGGGGAGGGGCGGTTTACCTCAGATACAGCGTTCAGGAAGTTCCAACCCTCCATCTTTTCAATTCAGTTTTGATTTTGTAAAGGCAAGGCAAGGCAGGGCAGGTTTTTTTGTACGGCACGATTCGTACACACCTCGGTAAAGCGTGTCACACAAGGAATTAAAATCCTAAGTAATCACAGTACTCTAAATAAATTGCGAAAAGTGAAAGAGAGACTAGAGGGAGACAAGAGATGGATTAGAGAGAGACCAGACAGACCAGAGAGAGACCAGAGAGACCAGAGAGAGACCAGAGAGAGACCAGAGAGACAGAGAGAGAGACTAGAGAGAGACCAGAGAGAGACCAGAGTGAGACCAGAGAGACTAGAGAGACCTAGAGAGAGAGAGTAGAGAGAGACTAGAGAGACTAGAGAGACTAGAGAGAGAGTAGAGAGAGACTAGAGAGAGATCAGAGCGAGACTAGAGAGAGACCAGAGTGAGACCAGAGAGACTAGAGAGAGAGACTAGAGAGAGATCAGAGCGAGACTAGAGAGAGACCAGAGTGAGACCAGACAGACCAGAGAGAGACCAGAGAGACTAGAGAGACAAGAGAGAGACAAAAGAGAGACCAGAGAGAGACTAGAGTGAGACCAGAGAGACTAGAGAGACTAGAGAGAGAGTAGAGAGACCAGAGCGAGACTAGAGAGAGACCAAAGAGAGACCAGAGAGACCAGAGAGACAAGAGAGAGACCAAAGAGAGACCAGAGAGACCAGAGAGAAAAGTTAAAGTCCCACAGTTGTATCGCCCTAAAGTATTTTTTTTTTCATGGTATTGCAACAAAATATAACAATAATTGAGCAAATACAGCAGTAATACAATCCATGAAAGGAAGGACAAGAGTTGGACGAAGAATAAAAAATCTTATAAACTCCTACCCTGTTCTTATATAAAGACATTTACATTAGATATAATTTGGAGGACTCTAAAAAGTTGTTGATTTGCCAAAAACTGTTCAGAGAATCAAACATGTCCAAACCCAGAAAACGCCATTATTTAAACATTAATAAATAAACAGATAGAGTTGGTCCAAAAGGGGCAGGTCACCAATGTCCATTAATCTCGGTGGATATTTTGACCCTGGTGATTATCTATACCAAACTGGGGTCAGACTGGCTCCAGAAAAAAGGCCGGTGGGGCTGCAGGTTTTCGTTCCAACCAAGCAGGAGCGCACTGACTCCGCCCATTTCCTCAGATTTTCAGGTCAAGACTGGACTTGCTTGAGGATTCGCAAACCGAGGACCGGTTTGACAGTTTAATTTCAGTGCAATCATGTCCAGCTCTTAATCACTACAGCAGTCGTCTCCGGGGAGTTGACTAAAGTTGAGGATTCACTAAGAATAGATCAGAAAATCAGTTTGAAGACAGGAAATGCTAAAATTACATGTATGTGTGTTGTTTTAGTGTGTAGGTGTGAAATCTTTGTGAAATTGGATTAAGCTGTACTTTATTCTGAATACTAGAAATACTCTCACATTGACTCACACACGGTATAAAGTGTGGAAATGCATCATGGGATTCAAGGTTCTCTATATTGTTTTGTTGAAGCTAAAATACCACATGTTTTTTTCTTTAACGTACAGGTTTCTACACAGTTCCTCAAAATATTTTGTTTGCAAAAAAACATAAAGAATTTTGTAAAAGTGAATTTGTATTTTGTGGGTTGGATTTATTAGAATTTGATTTTGATAAAGAATAGATATTGTATTTTGTATATTTATGAGAAAGAGGCCTAAGCTGAGAGCTGATTGGCCGAGTGAAGGGCATGTTCTCATTTTCACTTTTCTGTCTGTTCTCAAGAAGTGAATGAGGCCAAAAATACATGTGAGAGACCAGAGAAAGAGGCAAGAGAGAGACCAGAGAGATACCAGAGAGAGACCAGGGGGAGAGAAGAGAGAGACCAGGGGGAGACTAGAGAGAGACCAGAGAGAGAGACCAGAGAGAGACCAGGGGGAGACCAGAGAGAGACCAGAGAGAGACCAGAGAGAGACAAGAGAGAGACCAGAGAGACTAGAGAGAGACTAGAGAGAGACCAGAGAGAGACCAGGGGGAGACCAGAGAGAGACCAGAGAGAGACCAGAAAGAGACAAGAGAGAGACCAGAGAGAGACCAGGGGGAGACCAGAGAGAGACCAGAGAGAAACCAGAGAGAGACCAGAGAGAGACCAGAGAGGGACCAGGGGGAGACAAGAGAAAGACAAGAGAGATACAAGAGAGAGACAAAAGAGAGACTAGAGAGAGACTAGAGAGAGACTAGAGAGAGACCATGAGACAAGAGAGAGACCAGAGAGAGACAAGAGAGAGACAAGAGAAAGACAAGAGAGAGACAAAAGAGAGACTAGAGAGAGACCAGAGAGAGACAAGAGAGAGACTAGAGAGAGACCAGAGAGAGACCAGAGAGGGACCAGAGAGAGACCAGAGAGAGGCAAGAGAGAGACCAGAGAGAGACCAGACAGAGAAACAAGAGGGAGTCCCGCGAGAGACAAGAGAGACCAGAGAGAGAAATGAGAGACAAAAAGAGAGAGAACAGCAAGAGACCAGTGAGAAACCACTGAGAAACACACACACACACACACACACACACACACACACACACACACACACACACACACACACACACACACACACACACACACACACACGCACGCACACACACACAAACACACACACACACTCACTCACACACACACACACACACACACACACACACACACACACACACACACACACACACACACACACACACACACACACACACGCCCAAATAGTTAAAGTCTGCAGATATCCTGATAAAAAGCCAAAGGAGAATAAATGGAAGGAGCTTTAGCCTTAACTTCCAGGGCATGAGATTTCCCTTGTACCTACTGTGTCGGAACTAAGTCAGTCGTCACAGGTCGGCTGCACACAAAGCAAACCGAGTGGAGAGGATTTGACAGGCCTCTGACCACCGTAGGGTTAAAGAATTTGGTAGGCAAATGATTAAGGGGAGGATGTTGTTAAAGGAGAGCGGGAGAGAGAGCTGTGAAGAAAGAGAAAGAAAAGCGGAGGTACACATCCAAAGCCCTAATCCTCTTGCTTTCGCCAAAATGACAAATGCAGGAACTGAGGCATAAAGGAATCACTCGTGTATGTCGCACTTGAGTATTACTCCGAGGCACCTGCATTGGAATGAACAGATACAAATAAATACAAAAATAATGCGTGTGTGTGCGTGTGTGTGCGTGTGTGTGTGCGGTTGACGAGATGAGTTGGGGTTGGGGGGGGTTCGGCTGCGTAAGAAGCTTAAAAGAGTCTTCGGCTTTTGAATGTAATCAGGCTTCCATTGAAACCGTGGCAGGTGCCTGGCAGGTGGAGGCAGACAGATGCGCCGAGCTGGCAGAGCCGACGCGTACAGGTGTGAAGCAAGCAACTGCTCCCTAATTACCCATTTAAACGCTTAATTTCTGTGTTTCAATATTGATTGCTACCTTTCTGCTCCGTTTTCCCCACGGGAGCTCGGTAAGTATTCGCGCAAGCTTCTTTGGTATCGTCTTTTTGAATCCAAACACGGCTTTTTTTCCCCTTCTCCTCTCTCGCAGCTTGTGTTTGGAAGACTTCCCAATGGCGTTCCTGGGTGGTTAAAAGAATTGGGAACGTCTTGGTTTGCGTGATGGCAGGGGCAAGCTCCATCTCTCTCCTCTCTCTCTCTCTCTCTCTCTTTTTAGATTGGATCATATACTGGTAATGGGACGCACAATCAATGGACGTGCATCGGTGCCAAAAGCCCCCGCCCCATCTTTTCCAACGCTTCTTTCAGCTGCTCCAGATGGATCTTTATCTGGGGGTGTATTGATGGAAATGGCCTCCTTCCTTCCTGCTCGTACCTGCTGGAGCCCCGGTGTGCTGGATGTGGGGGGTGAGGGTTGGGCTTGCTGGGAGGGGGAGGGGGGGCACGGAGAGGGCTGCCAGGGATCTCTGCACAGCTGCCTCCGAAAGTGTGTGCGAGTTTGGAGAAGGGAAAGTACAAGAGCGAATGGGTCAAAGAGAAAGTCATTTTGCCATGAGGATAGACTAATAAATCTAGTCTTATTGTTACGTTTGGCGTCCAAGAACGTGTAATGGAGAGATTGGACGACAGTGTTTGCTCTGTTTACTGAAATAATCATGAATAACAGGATAATTGACTTTCTGTTCGAGGCATTTTTGAACCAGGAGGTGGCATTTTCTGAGCACCAAAGCCTTGATTGTAAGTTGATACGGCATTACTCACTCGTGCCAGAATCAATGGAAACAAAAGCTTGGGTTGGATCACGATAAAGACAGACTGTTCAAACCAGGATAAAAGAAACTCATTTTTACACACGTTTCTTTCAATGTGAACTGGCCTCCTGCTGGGACTCTGAGGAGCACAGGGACTAGCATCCTGCTGGGACTCTCAGGATCACAGGGACTGACCTCCTGCTGCTGCCCAGAGTCTAGATGACGAGACAGTCTTTTACATTCTTGCAGCTTGAATCTGTAAAAGAACAATGTAGAGAGTCTAGTTATTTAATTCTTCTGAAATTTCCAAAGTATTTCTAAAACTTTTTGAATGAGGCAGAAGTCCTTAGAATCCGTTTGCAACACTTGGACAGATCAAATTGAAAAAGACATTTCAAGGTCCATTTTCGTCCATCTTTCATCTTTTTCATCCCGCAAACAATCAGAAGGCGTTTGTGTTGTCGGGAGGTGCACGCGACCAGACTGGGACCGGTCCAGGCCCCGCACGGCTCTCGTTGCAGCCCCAGCAGCTGCCCCTCCCAGGTGGCCTGACATTTGAGTCGCAGCCGGGCCAGATTAGATGGAAGGTGTACGGAGAAGGACAGACGGCAGAGGAGGATGAGGAGGGGAGCCACCACTATTAACTTAGCGCCAGGTCCTTTTTTCGCAAACGTACGAGGCTGGAAAGGAAAGGCCGACCCCGGGGACAACCTGAGCCTCGGATTTGAGTCCAGATGGCTGGCCGGGGCACCCCAGAGGCACCCCGCTTATTGATTTAGCGGGGAAAAACAGAGAACCTGGCTTTGCTTTTGGGCCCACAGACCTGCATGGGCGAATCCTCCTCCTCTTGCCATCATCCTCTCGGTTCAAGATATCTGCTGCAAGGGGGGGGGGGGGGGGGAGGCCGATCAGAGGGCGCGCAAAGATCTGAATTTAGCAGGTGGGATGTAAAACGGCGCACTTTTGGCAGGTCTAATCCCTTCTGCTCGCCGGACAAATTGCGCGCTGATATGAGACGGAGAGGGGTTCCGTGCAAGAGTCAGGCCAGCACCGGTATGCGCTAATACAAAGGGCTGCAGAGCGGAGCAGCCCAGAGCAGACGTGCACATCAGATTTGTAGGAGACATGAAAGGGGACATGGGTATAAATATGGATGCGCCCCTTGGAGTGGAGCTCCTTTTGTGTGCCCATTAGTAGAGCTTTTTGTAATACTGCCTGCCATTGTCGTGTAGGCACATGTATAGACTGCCATAACACCCAGTCAATTACAGCCGGTGCACAGTGTAAGCAGCCAGGAGCAGATCATATGAATAAATGGATTCAAGCGTGAATACATCGGCCATCAGACGATCATATAGTTTGAGAAAAAGAAAAAAATCAAAAAGTGGCATGCATGACGACAGGCAGGGACTGGTTACACATCGTCAGACTGTGTGTTTTGCGCAGAATCCGACAATCCCCTCCTGGAGACAAAGGTTTCATCTCTAAATTGCTTCAGAGGTGGGTACATTAGCCACAAAGACAGACACAGCAGAAGTTCAAAGTCATCGCGGACTGGTCAAAGGGTCTGGTGTTATTAGTGGTAGAAAGAGGAAGTAGAAATGTGGTATTAAAGTAAAAGTTGGCTGTGTTCATTACGTTCAGACATTCAGCAATTACTGCAAAAAAATTCAATTACATGTATTTGTGCATCGGCCTAAAACATAACAGCAGTCGACTCGAACTATACAAAGTTGTGTATTCACCAACTACAGATCAGAAACAGTTCGAAAAAGAGAAAATGCAGTAATAACAAACACATATATGACATGTCCTATATATGTCTCCTATAGGACATAGTTGATCCGTGGGGAGCGGAGTAAACACTGTCCAGAAATGTTTAAAGATGTGTTTCTTTTGCAGTATCAGTTTAGAGATACTTTTAGCAGAACTTGTGCAATGTTTTTGTCTTTCAACTTTGCAGAACTGTGGCCAGTCATGGGGTGAGACCATGAAGACAAAGGACATGATGTGTGAGTACCATACTAACTGACTCGGACTCTGGGGAGCACAGGGACTGGCCTCCTGCTGGTCCCAGAGTCAGGACTAAACATGTAGAGGCATCACTTCAGATTCATGCAATAATCTGGAACAGTGTACCGGAATAAGAGAGACCATTTTCTTCTCCGACAATGTCCAAACCCAGGTTTAAAGAATATCTGTTTTTTCACTCTTTTTAATGCACTGCTATTGTATATGATTTTTATACCTCGAACAATTGTACTTTCCTGGTTCGTGAAAGCAACTTCAAATTCAAAAAAATCATTGCATGTAGAAAGTCAGAAGAGAACAAAGGTAGTCTGAGGCACTCTGTTTTAGTGAAAAAATTAAAAGTCCTTTAATGAATTGAATTGGCAGTCCAATTCATTAAAGGACTTTTATTTTTTCACTAAAACAGAGTGCCTCAGACTACTTTTGTTCTCTTCTGACTTTCTACATGCTTAGATTGCCCCGTCTTCGAAGAGCACCTGTTTTTATTGCCTTCTACCACACGTACCCTCTGCAGCACTCACCTTTTTTACTTTTAATCAAAAAAATCATTGTTTTGTTAAAAGCATTAGTTAAATGTCGTAAAATTCAGGCTTTTCTCTCCTGTGTCTGTATCTCTTCATTTTGGGCATGACAACATTTGCTAAAGAGATTTTGCTGTGTTTTGGGTAAAAAATTGCGTGTTTGTGTGAGTGGAAAATGGTGTAAGCACTGAGTTGGCGTTAGCATGTTTTTATAATACATTTATTCACAGTTTTGTCATTAATTGCATTGTTATGTTATGTTCCATCAGAAAAACAAATAGCCTGACTTCATCTCCATCTCCAGCGATCATTGGAAGTCTCAGGTACTAACCGCTCTAAATATAACCATTACCTCAACCTGCGCTTCTTTAGCCGCACATACACGTCTCTCATACGTTGTTCCCGATAGCATCCGAACCGCTAACTGCCGCGCGGCGTTGGAGACCCTCTGAACATATGATATTTGTCAATACTGTCGATTAGCTATGAACCGGATCCCCCAGAGCTGCACCATGTGAGTAACCGGACGCCTCCGCACTATTGACCGACAAGGTGGGCCAGGAGCGGCTGAGGGGCTGCGCTGTTGTGCTAACGAGCGTAATGAGCCCGAGCGTTTGGTCGAGGGCGTACCTGAGGCTGAAAACATATTTGGTGCCCACACACAACACGCCGTGGAGCTCTGATCATCAAGAGCCGACGGGTGCGAGCTTCCCACATGGCGGTTGTTACCTTAGAGCAGGCGAAAGGGAAAAGAATTGATGTGAAAAGGTGAAACGATTCTTTCTGTTCAGATTTGCGAGATGAGTTCGAACGACGTCGCTTTAATTAGTTCTTGCAAAACTTGGCTCATTATTAGTATACGATCTGTTTGAGGTAGGGTTGTCCTGCTTAAACCTGTCTCCACGTGGACTAGAGGCCACCCCCGGTACTGCAGCCTAAATCCACATGGGCTGTACGGGAGATTTCCCCCATAGACCTCAAAGATACCTACAGCTTTCACAAAGGGGGATTTTGTGAGGATTTTAGTGTCTCCTGGTTTTCTATAAATCCATAATTTCGTGCAAAAGAAGTTGAGCTCAAGCTTGCTCCGCGCCACCTCAACTGGCTAATATCCAGGTGGAGGAACAGCGGCTCTACTCTGAGCTCCTCGCCCTGTCTCTAGGAGCACCCAGCCACTCATGAGGATGACTTTGTTCTCGTTCTTTTGGTCACTGCCCAAAACTCAAAACCAGTGATGAGGACTTCGTAACTTAGATAGATAGATAGATATATACAACATTTTTACAATAATAAACATTAGATCATTAAAAGAGAGAGGTTAAGGCACTGCAGGACAATTCTCAAGACCTCCCCCTCTCTCCTCCTCCCCCCTGCTCCTCCCTGAAGTACTGAACTTATCTGATGTATATACACTGCAAAAAGTGACAAAGACAAATTAGTCACAAATTGCTTAAGTTTGGCCAAAAGCATCTTAATTTAAACTCTTTCTGACTAAGCCTTAATACAATGTTTTCCAATGGGACAAAGCGAAATGATCAACATGGTTTTGTCCCACATTTTGTTGTTCAAGAATGTGCTTGAATTAAGTAAAAAATTGGATTACCTCATATTTTCATGTTTATGGACATTGGTGATTGGTCGTCCCACTCCCGATTGACGACGGCTTCTTTGTTTCTCTGATCTGCCGTGTCCTTCATAGCTTAGCATGTTAACTTTTCCGAGAACTCCCATGTTCATCCCGAGGGAGCAACAAAACAAAACAATGCAAGACACCATTTTTTTCTTTTTTATCCTTTCTTACATGTAAATATATTGAGATGAGCTACTCTGAGTCATTTGCGTGTTTAGCTTCCAGCCCCTAAACCAATGACCTGTCTATCTCCTCGGGCGGCAGCGAGACACGGCTAACGCTCTAATCTGCACCTCGCCGTGTGCGGCTGCAGCGGTTAGCCAGCACGCTCCAGTGGGCCCTCGCTCCCCCGGGAACACGGCCACTCCGCGTACTGTACATGAAGCCGGGATACATAATAAACACACAAGAAGCTGGGGATAATTGAGCAGGAGAGAGAAAGAGAGAGAGAGAGAGGAGGAGGGAGGGAGAGAGAGAGGGAGAGGGAGGGAGAGAGAGAGAGGGAGAGAAAGAGAAAGCGGAGAGGGAAAGAGGGACAGAGAGAGAGAGAGAAGAGAGAGAGGGTGTGAGAAAGAGAGAGAGAGAGAGAGGAAGAGAGAAAGAGAGAGAGAGGGTGAGAGAGAGAGAGGGAGAGAGAAAGAGAGAGAGGAGAGAGAAAGAGAGAGAGGAGAGAGAAAGAGGGACAGAGAGAGAGAGAGAAGAGAGAGAGAGGGTGTGAGAAAGAGAGAGAGAGAGAGAGGAAGAGAGAAAGAGAGAGAGAGGGTGAGAGAGAGAGAGGGAGAGAGAAAGAGAGAGAGGAGAGAGAAAGAGAGAGAGGAGAGAGAGAGGAAGAGAGAGAGAGGGAGAGAGAGAGAGAGAGAGACTGTACTCTGCTCTACTGTTCTGTACTGTACCCTTCTCTACTCTTCTCTACTCTCATTTACTCTACTCTACCTTACTCTACCGTACCGTGCGCTGCTCTACCATACCCCACCCCACCCTACCCTGGTTCTATCCAGGTCGAGCTGGTACTTAAGAGATTGGCCAGAGTGCTACTGGAAGCCATGGACACCAAGGAATTTCCACTGGTATACTGGTTTGTTGTGGGAAGGTCGCTAGAATAGCTGCTAAACCGCAATGGAAATGGTTCTTTTGGCACCCCTTCCATCCACACACAACCACCTATTTAAGATTGTTACAGGTCTATAATTATGATACTTTAAGCCAGTGTTTTTCATCCAGTGGGGAGTGGTTTGTTGGTGTGCCTTGGAAATAGTCCAATATCACCTGCTTCGTCAAACACCCGCGGAAACAAAATAATGTGAGGATTAGAAAGATTGGTTTGTGTTTGTTTGATTTGCACACATTGATGAGAATGACTTTGCTTTGTTAATAAAGGCTGTAGATAGATGGTTCGATAGATGGATAGATTTATTTGCAGACTTGAGGTCCGAATCAACACAGACACAAGAAAAAATATTTT